GGCGACAGTGAAAAGTTTTTTATTAAATAATAAAAGGACGCAGGAGTTATGCCGTCAAAAGGAAAATGTCCGTTCACAGAGTTGAATTTTTTAAATAAAACAGATAACGTTGGAGATAATTATGATAATGGGGTGAATAGAGAAAATGACGAATCCAAAGATGAAAACGTAATGAACCAATGGATCAATGGATCACAATTTTCCATACATTCTGCTCCGATATCGGAAACATACAATCGTAATTTGATTAATTGTGATCAGAAAATATTATCATCATCTCAACTATCACTTCCGATCGAAGGTAATAATTACAAGAGTTTGTCATTGGATGGTGAAATATGCGTGTCGTCTATAGAAAATAAGAAAAACGTCGATGACGGTTGTTGCGACGCATTGCAAAATGAAGAAATCGTAGAAAAGGATAATGATGATGTTGTTGTTGTTGTTGAATCCCTGGTACGTCCCTGTTCTCTTATTATTCCATCGAGTGCAGGAAAAACATTAAATTTAACAGCCGTTGCTAACGAGGCACAACTTCGACAGTGTCCTATATTGGTTAAGGATTTAAGCTGCGACACGGCGGATGATGAAGATAATGAAAATCATTTGACGATATCGAGTCTCACAGCGAGGCCCCTCATAGCTAAATCACACGAATTAAAAACTAAAAAAGTTGCTAAAAAAGTTAGAGAAGCTGAAAGGAGAGCGAGAATCAGAAGGTTTAAACCACCCGATGGCGGTTATGGTTGGGCCGTTGTTGTTGGTGCCTTTCTCGTACAATTTTGGGTATCAGGATTGGTTAAATCTTACGGCGTGTTATTCGTTGAAGTTTTGGAAACGTTTACGGATACAAGTGCAACCGTAGCCGCTTGGATACCAGCTATACTATCGACTCTTTGCCTTGCATTAGGTTTGTAACATTCATTATATTCTTTAAATTTCCTCATTTTCTTTTTCTTACATTTTCTTTTTTTTTTTTTTTCAGCTCCCATTGCAAGTGCACTGTGTCAAAAATTCACCTGTCGTTTGGTTGTATTTTTGGGTGGATTATTTTGTGCTGCCGGCCTTATATCAAGTTATTTTGCAACAAGTTCTTCTCATTTACTATTCAGTTTTGGATTGTTAAGTGGTAAGAGGAATTATTTTTACTTATTATTATTATTATTATAAAAATAAAATAAATCGATTTAATTTTAAAATGGTACAAAAAATCTTCTATCGAAACAATTAATCAAATCATCAATAATATTGCATGTTTATATTAAAAAAAAAAAAAAAAAAATGTTGAACCACCTTTTCTTGTAAAAGTTAATGGAATTTCCCATGAATATAAAATTATTACCTTATAAATAACGTAATCATTTCGTGCTTTTTACAAAATGATATTATTATTATTATTATTATTATTGGATTCGTAATTTAAAAATTATATTAATATTTGTTATTAAAAATTTAACGACTCAATGATTTTATTTGAAAAACTCACGGAATATATAATTTTGATCGTTTTTTAAATTATTATTATTTTTTTTTGAATTTGATTGTTTTAGGCATAGGAGGCGGATTGTCTACAACACCTGGCGTTCTCATAGTTTCCAGATATTTCGATAAGCATAGAGCGTTGGCAAATGGAATTTGCATATCCGGTACGGCAGCCGGAAGTTTTATTTTTCCTATTTTAATACAACATTTAATTTTTTGGTACGGTT